CAATACCGAATTTATTGAGAGGTTTAGCATGAAGGGCTGTTGAATTTTGGCAAAGGCCTTTTCTGCATCTATTGAGATAATCATGTGGTTTTTGTCTTTGGATCTGTTTATATGCTGGATTATGTTTATTGATTTGCATATGTTGAACCAGCCTTGCATCCCAGGGATGAAACCCACTTGATCATGGTGGATAAGCTTTTTGATGTGCTGCTGGATTCGATTTGCCAGTATTTTATTGAGGATTTTTGCATCGATGTTCATCAGGGATATTGGTCTAAAAGTCTCTTTTTTTGTTGTGTCTCTGCCAGGCTTTGGTATCAGGATGATGTTGGCCTTATAAAATGAGTTAGGGAGGATTCCTTCTTTTTCTATTGATTGGAGTAGTTTCAGAAGGAATGATACCACCTCCTCTTTGTACCTCTGGTAGAATTCAGTTGTGAATCCATCTGGTCCTGGACTTTTTTTGATTGGTAGGCTATTAATTATTGCCTCAATTTCAGATCCTGCTATTGGTCTATTCAGGGATTCAAGTTCTTCCTGGTTTAGTCTAGGGAGAGTGTATGTGTCCAGGAATTTATCCATTTCTTCTAAGTTTTCTAGTTTATTTGCGTAGAGGTGTTTCTAGTATTCTCTGATGGTAGTTTGTATTTCTGTGGGGTCGGTGGTGATATCCCCATTTATCATTTTTTATTGCATCTCTTTGATTCTTCTCTCTTTTCTTCTTTATTAGTCTTGCTAGCAGTCTATCAATTTTGTTGATCTTTTCAAAAAAACCAGCTCCTGGATTCATTTATTTTTTGGAGGTTTTTTTTGTGTCTCTAACTCCTTCAGTTCTGCTCTGATCTTAGTTATTTCTTGCCTTCTGCTAGCTTTTGATTGTGTTTGTTCTTGCTTCTCTAGTTCTTTTAATTGTGATGTTAGGGTGTCAATTTTAGATCTTTCCTACTTTCTCTTGTGGGCATTTAGTGCTATAAATTTCCCTCTATACACTGCTTTAAATGTGTCCCAGAGATTCTGGTATATTGTATCTTTGTTCTTATTGGTTTCAAAGAACATCTTTATCTCTGCCTTCATTTCGTTGTGTACCCATTAGTCTTTCAGGAGCAGGTTGTTCAGTTTCCATGTAGTTGAGTGGTTTTGATTGAGTTTCTTAGTCCTGAGTTCTAGTTTGATTGCACTGTGGTCTGAGAGACAGTTTGTTATAATTTCTGTTCTTGTACATTTGCTGAGGAGTGCTTTACTTCCAACTATGTGGTTAATTTTTGAATAAATGTGATGTGGTGCTGAGAAGAATGTATATTCTGTTGATTTGGGGTGGAGAGTTCTGTAGATGTCTATTAGTTCTGCTTGGTGCAGAGTTGAGTTCAATTCCTGGATATCCTTCTTAACTTTCAGTCTTGTTGATCTGTCTAACGTTGACAGTGGGGTGTTAGAGTCTCCTATTATTATTGTATGGGAGTCTAAGTGTCTTTGTAAGTCTCTAAGGACTTGCTTTATGAATCTGGGTGCTCCTGTATTGGGTGCATATACATTTAGGATAGTTAGCTCTTCCTGATGAATTGATCCCTTTAACATTATGTAATGGCCTTCTTTGTCTCTTTTGATCTTTGATGGTTTAAAGTCTGTTTTATCAGAGACTAGGATTGCAACCCCTGCTTTTTTTTTGTTTTCCATTTACTTGGTAGATCTTCCTCCATCCCTTTATTTTGAGCCTATGTGTGTCTCTGTATGTGAGATGGGTCTCCTGAATACAGCAAACTGATGGGTCTTGACTCTTTATCCAATTTGCTAGTCTGTGTCTTTTAATTGGACCATTTAGTCCATTTACATTTAAGGTTAATATTTTTATGTGTGAATTTGATCCTGTCATTATGATATTAACTGGTTATTTTGCTCGTTAGTTGATGCAGTTTCTTCCTATCATCGATGGTCTTTACATTTTGGCATGTTTTTGCAATGGCTGGTACCAGTTGTTCCTTTCCATGTTTAGTGCTTCCTGCAGGATCTGTTGTAGGACAGGCCTGGTGGTGACAAAATCTCTAAGCATTTGCTTGTCTCTAAAGGATTTTATTTCGCCTTCACTTATGAAACTTAGTTTGGCTGGATATGAAATTCTGGGTTGAAATTCTCTCCTTTAAGAATGTTGAATATTGGCCCCCACTCTCTTCTGGGTTGCAGAGTTTCTGCAGAGAGATCTGCTGTTAGTCTGATGGGCTTCCCTTTGTGGGTAACCCGACCTTTCTCTCTGGCTGCGCTTAACATTTTTTCCTTCATTTCAACTTTGGTGAATCTGACAATTATGTGTCTTGGAGTTGCTCTTCTCGAGGAGTATCTTTGTGGTGTTCTCTGTATTTCCTGAATTTGAATGTTGGCCTGCCTTACTAGGTTGGGGAAGTTCTCTTGGATGATATCCTGCAGAGTGTTTTCCAACTTGGTTCCATTCTCCCCATCACTTTCAGGCACACCAATCAGACATAGATTTGGTCTTTTCACATAATCCCATATTTCTTGGAGAAAAAGGAGTAAAAAGAAATGAACAAAGCGTCCAAGACCCAGTGGTTCTTAATCAGGAGTGTTCATTAAAATGCTGGAAAACTGAAAAAGACTTCTATGTCCCATCCAAGGAGATTTTGCTTCCAATTGACTGGCTAGTGGCCTGGCCATTGGTATTTTCGAAAAGCCCTCCAAGCCATTCTTTTACTTACACCCCAGATAGAAAATTCTAAATTAAAGGGGGAAAAAAAGACACCAAGTGGCACTTAAATAAATGTCAACTTTAATTCCACAATGCATCTGATTGCATGTGGACAGAAAGAGAAGGAAAGAGGCCTTATATCTGGATAACTTAGAAATGTGCTCCCCCTAGCAAGATATCTACCAAAATTAGAACCATATTTGAAGATGCTGGCACTGCAAGCAATATATAAATGATGCATGTAATGTCATCTAATATGATTGTATTTTAAAAAAAGAGTTGAGTGGTGTTTTCTAGCTGTTAGTTTTTCCAAATATCAATATAGAAATTAGTTTTCTGCAGCTGCAGAGGCAATTCTGTTTCCAGCTTGCTTTCTTGTGACCTAGAGGCATTAAGTGGCCCAGAGCATCTCTGATCCACCCCTCCCACAACCACCTAATCCAGAGACAACCGAATGCCTTGGACCATCTGGTGAGAGAGGTAGCCGCATGGCAGTAAGAGTCCTGCTCTGAAGTGACAAGAGCCTTAAGGTCTAGTTTTGACTTACTGCTAACTTGCTGACACTGCATACTTGCTGAGTGTTCTTGGGTGAATCCTTTCACTTCTCTGAGGTTCACTATGAAATGAGAGGTCAAGGGTCCAAAAGTAAACACCTTTAGAGGTTGGGTAATATCAGTGAGTAAAATGGACCAGGCACAGCACAAAGTGGAATGGTGCAGACTGGGGAAAGTGGAGAACTTATGCCTCTGTAAAGGGGGCAGCCACCACTCAGTTCCTGTAGATTACTTTATTTTTGCTAAGGACAGTTGCACAGGGAGTGCACTGCAGAAGGGTAACACTTTACAGAAGGTGTCATTTGCATCATAGATGCAGATATTTATCCATGGCAGTTTCTGAAGATGTCTGTAGAAGGTTTTGAGGAAGGAGCACCCTGTATTTTGCATAAAAGGTGTTGTATGGACCTCCAGAAGTGCTGGTTATCATGTGGGGATGCAGCTCTATAATAGTATCCTCTGGGATTTCTTGTTATTGTTGTTTCCTGAAGAAGCTGGAAATATGGCATTTAATGTGAAATTTCCTTAATTTAAAATTTGCTGGCAACAAATTCCAAAACATGTTTAACGTTGTGTGAGCCAAACAAAACACTTCAGGGGGTCAGATTCAGGCTCTGGGTTGGAGATCTTTCACCCAGATGAGTTACTGGCATCTCAGAAACCCTCCTAGTCTATGCATCCTATGTAATCTTGAAGCAATTGTGAAGAAAATATAATGACCCTGGTGAATTATATGGATATAATATGGATTATGTGACTATGCAAAGTAAGAGTGCATCCTTTGAATGACAGTATTTAACATTCTCCCTACCCTGTGACTAATTTTGATTTGTCCTTTCTTATGTAAATGCTATTTCTCCAGAGAGAGCCTCCTAAGACTTTAATCTAACTTAGGTTGCCTCTGTTACACTTTCTTGAAAACACCTTATTCTCCTGAGTAACACCTATCGAAGTTACAGTATGAGATATCCACTTGCGTGAATGTTTGCTTAATGTCTGTTTGCTCACTCTTGGGTAGCAGCCAGGTTTTCTTCACTGCTGTATCCCAGTGGGGATACGCCTGGTATATATCAGACGCTCAGTGTAGATTTATTTTTTAATTTTTTTATTATTATTATCTTATCTTTTTTTTTTTTGAGAAGGATTCTTGCTCTGTCACCCAGTCTGGAGTGCAGTGGTGCAGCCTCTGCTCACTGCAACCTCCACCTCCCGGGTTCAAGTGATTATCCCACCTCAGCCTCCCAAGTAGCTGGGACTATAGGCACACACCACCACGCCCGGCTAATTTTTGTATTTTTTAGTAGAGATGGGATTTCACCATGTTGGCCAAGCTGGTCTTGAACTCCTGACCTTAAGTAATCCACCCACCTCAGCCTCCCAAAGTGCTGAGATTATAGTCGTGAGCCACCACACCCAGCCAGTGTGGATTTATTGAATGATAGATTCATCTCGACCCCATCACAGAAGCTTCATTTCTTCTTGGCACTGCTGATCTGATGTTTGATACCTAGAATTTGACTTCTATTTTTTATTTTGGATGATGTCAGGTTTCCATCTCTTCCACAGAAGAGACCCAGCTCAAACCCATGATGTACAAGACATCCATACTTGGCTTGTGGCTGAAGCCCCGATGGGTTGGGGTGGTGGACTCACATTTTGGGTAACATTCACAGACATCTTCTCTGATAGAAAGTGGGTGCTGGGGGCAGGGGGAGTGTTATCAGCACAGAATTAAATTCTGCCCCCTTATCCATATTTTACATTCGATTTTATTTCATATGAGTTATAAAATCAGCCCTCCTCCAAATTTATTGAAGAAATCTTGCTGTCTTTCAAGACAATTTGCACTTTTTCATGTTGAAAATAATTCCATAAGGATCATTCCTAAGTCCATAAAATATCAGCAAAAGCAGCTTGTTCTGCAAAGATCCCCACAGAACGTAGCTGAACTCAGAAGGAAGCTAATGATTGCAGGGAAAAAATGTAGGAGGAGAAGGGAAACCAAAATCACAGAAAGATAACTTCCCAAGGAACACCAGAGAAAAAGAAAGGCTGGAGGAGAGAGAGGAAAATTAAGGAGAAAAGAGGACTCCGGAGCGTGTCGGAGACAGACAGGATCAGGGGGATGGTGCTGGTCCAAAACTCCACCCGCGGTTCTTTGAGTCTCTGTCCGAGGCTCATGTTCAAGTCTGGTTGCAGGTACTGCTCGGTCAGATTATAGGCTGGCCACAAAGGCAAGTCGTCCCCATTGGGATTCCTGGAAGGGAGAGCAGAAACAGGGGTGAGATTTTCCTCCTCACACCCCAGGCCTTGGCATGGGGGAGACTGGGAGGTTCACTGACCCGGTTCGAGCAAAGGTAGCCCAGTATTTCATCATCTTCCGGCTCAGCAACTTCTCCTCCTCCGTGGCTCCTTCTGAAGGAGATAATCACAAAATGCTGCTGCTCTGGGTGAGGCTCAGGATGCCCGGGGTGCCTTGTATTTGATGAATCCCTTTCACACCCCTCCTCCCACTGGAACCTTACAAGCCTACCAAGTCACTGTACCCATTTTACACATGCAGATACTAAAGCTCAGAGAAATGGGGACCTACCCAAGGAATTGTGGCTTCTGAATGGTGGAAGCTGAACACACATCTTCCCTGTCCACCCCATGTTCCTGCAGCCAGTCCCATGATGCTGCAGGTTCCCTGGGGACACAGACCAGCTTGCTCCCTCTCTCTGTCTCTGTTTTCCCCTCTCTCTCTCTTCCATCTCTCCATCCTCTCTTCCTTCTCTCTCCCCATCTCTGTCTTCCATCTCTCTTCCCTCTTTTTCTTCTCTCTCTTCCTCTCTCTCCCCTCTCTCCTTCTTCCCTCTCTCTCTTCCTTCTCTCTCCCTCCATCTCTCCCTTCTGTCTTTCTTCCCTGTCTCTCTGTTCCTTCTCTCCCTGTCTTCCCTCTCTCTTGCTTCTCTCTCTCTTTCCTCTCTCTTTTCCTTCTCTCTCTCCGTCTGGCTCTGTCCTCTCACACACATTTTTACAATTAATTTTTGTATTTCTTTATTTAAAAAGTAGAAAATCCAAAATGCAGAAAGAGCATCTAACATCCAATGAAAATGTTTCCCTTTCATCTCTTCCCTGCAGACACCCAGTGACGAGCCTCAGCGGCACCTTCCCAAAGACAGGCTCTGCAGGTTCCAGGGTATAAACGGACACCTTTCTACACATCTGGCAGGAGACTGGACACGTATTCTACATATTGCTCTTTTTATTAAAATTGATCTCATATATAGGACTTGTCTCTTATCAAACTGCCATTTGTTGTTCTATGAACATGTAATATATAAATACATATTTATATGCAATTATATATAAATACATAATGTATGTGTCATGTTTCCGATCTTTTGCTGGTAAAAGCAGTATTTTAGTGTGCATATATACTTTTGCACATGTGGAAGTATACTTACACAAAAACTCTAGAAGTAGAATTGCCAGGCTAAAAACTACATGCATTTCAATCTACGTTATTTATTTTTATAAAGATGGGGTCTCACTCTGTCACCCAGGCTGGAGTGCAGTTGCACGATCATAGCTCACTGCAGCTTCCAACTCCTGGGCTCAAGCAATTCTTCCTGCCTCAGCCTCCCAAAGTGATGGCATTACAGGCATGAGCCACCACACCTGGCTAAGACTACACATATTTTTTTTTATTTTATAAAAATAAAAACAATTTTTGAGACAGGAGTCTCATGCTGTTGCCCAGATTAGAGTTCAGGGCCATGATCATAGCTCACTGTAACCTCAAACTCTTGGGCTCAAGTGATCCTCCTACCTCAGCCTCATAAGTAGCTGGGACTACGGGTGTGTGCCACCATGCCTGGCTAATTTTGTTTACTATTTTTTTTTTTGTAGACAGAGGGTCTTACTATGTTGCCCAAACTGTTCTGGAACTCCTGGATTCAAGCAATCCTCCCACCTCAGACTTCCAAAGTGCTGGGATTACAGGTGTGAACCACCACGCCCAGCCTTACATGCATTTTAAATGTTGATAGACTTCTCTATTAATGTATAAAATTGTTTCTCACACCTGCTAGAATACATTATTTTAAGTGTTTTGTTTTTTCCAACCTTGATTGATGAAAAATAATTCTTTGCTAAGAAGGATGGTCTGAAGTTTCCTTGTTATGAGGGAGGTTAAGCGGATGTTCATATGTTTACAAGGCACTTGTGTTTTCTTTTCCATGAACTGTCTGTTTGTATCTGCTACCCAGTTTTCAATTAGGTTATTCTTTTCTTACGAATTTTCCTCTTTAGACATCAAGGAATTTCACCTTTTCATACATATGTTGTTCACTTTTTCCAGTTTAGGGAGTCCCTGTGCCATTACATAGTATGGGCTCAGGAATGGTTGCTGAGAAATAACAGTGACATTTATTAGCTATTCACTCTTACTTTATGGGGCTTATTTTATTTAGTCCTTATGACAACCTAGGAGGAAGTTCTTTATTATCTGTGTTGTAAGATGAGGATGAAACACTGAAATAATGAATAAACCACAGTGCACAAACACACTCTATATGGAATGTTCTGTCCTCTTTGTCAGGAGGCCAATGTGAATAAGTTAAGAGCCTGCATTGTGTAATGTTTCCAACCAAATAGTTCAGTGATAGCTCCTGTGTGTATTTTTCCCTGCAAATTTATTCGATTGACAACCTCATCTGATTGGTTTATTTTAGGCACCAAATATGTCATAAATTTAAGAATAAATGAGCTAACATCACAAGTAACAGTTCACAAGGCTTTACATGAGCTCATCTGGGTGCAGACCACTTGGAGCTGGAATTATGAAAAACATGGTCCTTGCCTCTTAAAGCCTCAGATTGTGGCCTCATGGGATTTCTGGGAAGGGGAGGGAGGGTAAGACCCGTGGTCAAAGAAAAGGAAGAAAATGGTTCTAATATATATATCTATTTTAAATTATTTAGATTGCTTGAGTGTTCCTAAGTGGCCACACCTGTAGGTTTCAGTACAAAGAGAAGCCCTCATCAAGCAACTGTCACGGTGCTTTTTCATCTTGGCTTCTAAAAATGGAAGTGAGGGCATTTTCCAGAGAAAGGTTGCGTCTGCCTGTAAACCACAGAGGTGATTAAATGCCAACCCCGAAGTCCTCCGGGCTCTTGCATAGTGGTGGGGTAAGCAGGGGGCTTCATGTGAACTGTGGGGAGTGGCCAGTCCCTTACCGAACATAACAATGTCACCCTTCAGGAAGGCACCACCGAACACAAAGCGGACTTCATCAGCGTGGTCGGCTTTGACAAAAGCTGGCTTCGTGTCTTCAAAGCACTGGGGCCGGTGCCGAAACTCATAGAAGTAGACAGGTGCACCAGCATCTGAACAAAGGTCAGGGAAGGTCAGACATGCAGGCAGCGTGGAGCAGGGGGCTGGCTCTGTGTCCCCATCTATTAAGTCTTGGATGTATAGACCAAGGGGTGGGACAGCTCAGAGACAAGAGGCTACCTAAGCCAGCCTCACTTCCCCCTTCCTCATCTGAGGCTGGAATTTCCTGTTACAGCAGAGCTTATATCCCTGGTGATGAAGAGCTCACGTCTGAGAAGTCAGTAGTTCTGCTTCTCAAAAAAAGTCCTCCATATTCAACCAAGATCTACCTTGTTGGGACTTTCTCTCGAAGTTCAAGTCTTTTACCCATTCTTGGAAAATACTTTATTTTCATTACTGAACTGTAAGGGTTCTTCTATTCTGGATATGATGATTTTGTCAAATAATTGTATTATGAATATTTTCTCCCAGTCTGTGGTCTGCCTTCTCATTTTCCTAACAATATTTTTAAGGTAAATGTACATAAGTGAAATCTGCCACTTTAACTATTTGAAAGTATATAATTCCGTGGTTTTTAGTACATTTAAGATGTTGTGCAACTATCACCACTATTTAGGTCCAGAACATTTTCATCACCCCAAACAGAAACCTCAGACCCATTTAGCAGTCACTCCCCCTGAGCCCCACTTCTCAGCCTCTGGAAAACACAATTCTACTTTCTGTCTCTATGGATTTGCCTAATCTGAACATTTCGTGTAAGTGGGATCATACAACATGTGGCCCTTTGTACCTGACTTCTTTCACTTAGCATAATGTTTACAAGGCTCATCTGTATTGTAGCATGCATTCGTATTTCATTTCTTTTCATGGCAAACTGATAAGCCATTGTAAGTATATAATGAATTTTGTTTATTGATTCATCAATTGATGAACACTTGGGTTGTTACCATTTTGGCCTATAATGAACAAGGGTGCTATGAACATTCACATACAATTTTTGTTTGAATATCAGTTTTCAGTTATCTTGAGTATACCCCTAGGACTGGATTTGCTAGGTTATATGGAAACTATGTTTAACTTTTTGAGGAATAGCCACAACATTTTCCCACAGTGGCTGCACTGTTTTATGTTTCCAACAGTAGTTGAGAGTTTTGGTTTCTCTATATCCTTCACACTTGTTCTTATTCTTTTTCTTTTTTAAAAAAATTATAGCCACCCTAGTATATAACACATACAAAAGAATAAAGGTAGATTCTTCCCTCATACTATATAGAAAAACTAACTCAAAATGGATCAAAGGCCTAAATTTAAAACTAAAATTGTAAACCTTTATAAGAAAATATATAGGTTAATTTCCATACCGTTGAATTTGGCAGTGGATTCTTAGATATGACACCAAAAGCACAATCAACAAAAAACTGGATGAATTATATTTCATCAAAATGAAAAACTACTGTGCAACTTTGGTGCATTATCAACAGAGTAAGAAGGCAACCCACAGAATGGGAGAAAATATTTGCAACTCATATATCTCATAATATCTCGTAAGGGATTAATTTCTACTACATATATATACACACACACACACACACACACACACACACATATATATATTTAAGATTAAGGAACTCTTAAAACTCAACAACAAAAAACAACTCAATTCAAAAGTGGGCAAGGGTCTTAAACAGACATTTCTCTAAAAACATATATACAAACGTCCAATAAGCACATGAAAAGATGCTCAACATCTCTAATAATTGGGAAAATGCAAATGAAAACCATAATGAGATACTACTTCAAACCCATTAGAATAGTCATTATTTAAAAAACAGCAATGTTGGTCAAGATATCGAGAAATTGCAACCCTTGTGCATCGCTGGTAGGAATGTAAAAGGGTTCAGACACAGTGGAAAACACCATGACACTTCTTCAAAAAAATTAAACTTAGAATTACATATGATCCAGCAATTCTACCTCTGCCATATACCCCAGATAACTGAAAACAGGGACTTGAACAGATATTTCTACAACTGTGTTAACTGCAGCATTATAGTCAATAGCCAATTGTAGCCAATAGCCAATTGTTCATTGCACAATAGCCGAAAGGTGGAAACAATGCAAATGTCCATTAATGAATAAATGGATAGACAAAATGTGATATATACATACAATGGAACATTATTCAGCCTTAAAAAAGGAGGAAATTCTGATGTATACTACAGCATATAGGAATCCTGAGACCTTACGCTATGTGAAATAAGCCAAACAAAAGGACAAATATTGAATGATTCCATTTACATTGAGTAACTAAAGTCACTAAAGTAACTAAAATGTCAGTCATAGAGACAGAAAGTAGAATGGTGGTTACTGGGGTCTGGGGGAAGGAGGAGTAGGGAGTTATTTTTAATAGGTACTGATTTTCAGTTTGGGTTGATAAAAACGTTCTGAAGATGTATAGCGGTGATGGTTGTACAACAATATGAATGTACTTAATACCATTGAACTATACACTTAAAATGTTTAAAATGGGAAAGTTTTTATTAAGCATATTTACAATTTTTAAAACGTAAAAATGAGTGTGCCATTTCATTTATAAATATTTATGAATTTTCCAGATTTCCTTTTGTTATTGATTCCTAATTTCATTCCCTTGTGGTTGAAGAAGATACTCTGCATGATTTCCATCCTTTTACATTTATTGGGATTTGTTTGATGGCCTAACATATGGTTGATTCTGGAGGATGTTGTATGTGCACTTGAGAAGAATGTGGAATCTAATGTTACGGGGTGGAGTATTTGTCTGCCTTTACAATAGTTGAATTGAAGTCTATTATTTTAAGAGCTCCATTACTCCTTATAGCTAAAATGTTTGTTCCATTACTACATATGGCTAAGATGCTGGGGAAGACATTTCTAGAAAGAAGAAATCCCAGGGGACAGTGCCCAGAAAATTATAGGGAGATGAGAATTTTCTACATGGTCCTGAAGAAGGGGAAGAAACAGAAACAACTGATCAACATTCCCAAACTCTGAAAGGCAGGTGAATGACACAGGTCCCCATGGCACGTTCCCATCCAGACACAGACACTCTCTCTGTGAGGGAACAGAGGCAGAGGAGGCAGCCAGTCAGTAGACAACATGGATCTCTGTGGCCACCAGCCTCGCTGGGCTGTGGTCCTGGAGCGGGGTGCCCAGAGACTCACCTCGGTGATATCGAGCTGTGATCAGTGCAGGGACCACAAAGAACACATCTCCAAGCAAGTCCAGAAGACCGTCTCGGATTTCAGTCAGGGAGTGCTTGTCATGGAAGTATTCATTAGCCACAAGGTACAAATACTGAGGCGGGATGTGCTGTAAAAAAAAATCTTAGTCATAGGAGATCCAGGTCAACCACAATGACCTACACGTTAAACACTCACCTGTGCAGGTATGATTCTGAATGCTTTACCCACATTGCTTCATTTAATCCACACAGCAACCCTATGATGCAAGTATCAAAACTAGCCCCGTTTCACAGATTAAGAAACTGAGGCTTAGAGAGGTGAAGTGGTTGGGCCCCAACTGGAAGAACCATGATTCTTTCACAAGTCTATTTGCATCCAAATCCCATGCTCCTGACCACAGGCCTCTCTCGCTCATGTCTCAGAATGAGTCACTGCTGGGCAGAACTGGCTGCATCATCTGTGGAGCTCAGTGCAAAGTAAAAACATAAGCTCCTTGTTAAAAAAATCATTAAGAATTTCAAGATAGTGACAACGGAGCATTAAACCAAATGTAGGACCCTTCTGAGCAACAAGGTCCTCTGTGACTACACAGGCAGAACATCCATGAAATCAGCCCTGCTCCTGGTACCAGCACTGCCTCCAGCCCTTAGCTATTATCTTACCTAAGCTAGTTGGTCTCTTGGAGCCTCAGTTTCCTCATCTGTAGGGATGTAGAGGATTATATGAGATGTGAAGAGAGAAGTATGCTGCTTGGCCCAGAGCAGGTATTCAGTCCTGTTGGTTCCCCCAGGCCCCATTGCTGAGTGCCTTAATAGGACATTCAATGCTTCCTTGACCTGGCACCAGCCTGCCTCCCAGGCTTCTCCCTCTCAACTTCCCCCAGGCACTAATGGTAGAGACTGCATGGTAAATTCCATGAAGATTCAGGGATCTGGTGCTCTAGGAAATGCTGGAAAGGTGTTGTAGCTCAAACTCCTACCACTAAGACAGCAGCACAGCCCTTGATGGGTTTCTTCCTAATTTGGAGGCGAGGCAGTGTACACCACATTGGAGAATGCTGCTCGGACTTGTTTATCGGGTCCTCAGGAGGCTGGTGGTTTTTAATCAGGCCAGAGCAAGGGAGGTCTCTGCAGTAGGTCCAGTCTATGGCGTAAGGGCCTGGCCTCTTTGGCCATCTAACCAGCAGAACCCATGGTGCTGGGGGTGTCCAAGGTGGGTATAGATGCTGTGTAGAGTCTCAGGTGAGTCCCCATAGGACAGTCAGAGTGCAAAGTCCTAGGGTTCTGGGGTAAGGCTATGCCTTCTGCATCAGAGAACTACTTACTGTTTTAAAATCAGCCCCTAGCATGCTACCGTGCCTAGGAGAACCATGTGCCCTTCCATTCCTCTTGCACTTTCCCACACAACCTACTTCCCACTCTACTTGAAATGTCGTTCTGCTCAGTTTTTCCCCTCCCCTAAGGCTCAGATCAATGAGCATCTTCTCCATGAGGCCATCTCCAGTCCACCTGAGAATTCCAGTGTATAAATTATAACATCAATGTCTCTCAAACCTTAGTCCCAATTCATCATCAGACAGCTGCAACTCGTCAAACATCCCTCCACCAGGGGGACCGGAGGGATATCTGCGTGTACTGTTTCTTTCTGTTTTCCTACCTTTTTTTTTTCTTTTTGAGACAGAGTGTCTCACTCTTTTGCCCAGGCTAGAGTACAGTGGAGAGATTCTGCAGCCTCAAACTCCCAGGCTCAACAATCCGCCTGCTTGGCCTCCCAAGTAGCTGGCACCACAAATGCATACCACCAGGTCTGCCTAATTTTTTTATTTTTTGAAGAGACAAGGTTTCCCTGTGTTGCCCAGGCTATTCTTGAACTTCTGGGCTCAAGCAATCCTCCTGCCTTGGCCTCCCAAAATGTTGGGATTACAGGTGTGGGCCACCGTGCCCAGTTTCAGAGGGCTTTTCCTAAAATAGAAATCAAATCGTGTCCTTCTTCCTTCTGTTCTCAGTCTTTAGGATGAAGTCTATACTCATTACATAGCTTACAATAGCTGAAAGCATTCTCTCCTGCTGTAGCCAACCCTCAGCCAATCTCTTCACAACCGTCTGCTCCCAGCTGGTACTCTTGTTTCTTCCCAGTTTATCCACCCACCCATTCCATCACCAGACAAGCTCCATTAATCCTCCAAATCCTTCTCCCCAAGACAACTGCCTGTCCCCTTCTGTGTGCACCACAGGGCCTTGGACATTGCTGTGCTTCATGTGTACTGTACTGCAGTGTCTTGTCATCTCTGTCCACCCCATGTTGCACCCCAGTGCCCAGGGAATGCAGGGGCATGTGGACTCTCACTAAACATGTGTTCCATGGACAAGTGAACAAAATGAATATTGGCAGTGAGTCCACACTGAATAAATGTTTATGGAAAAAGAGGAAGATGGAAAAAGGAGAAAAGAAAGGAAGGAAAACAATCCATCTCTATATCCTAGTGTCTAGAGTAAGACCAGATACTGCTAAGTTTGTGCAGTGAACGAATGAATGAGTGATGGAACAATAAATGAGTGAATGAATGAGTAAATGACTGGTCTTGCCAGAGCCTGGCCTGATGCCTGGCTGGTGTGTGGTGAATACAGGTCCCTAGTCCTGTGTGTGTTTTAGCATTCAGAGCTTTTCAGACTGTAGGTAGATAATGCAACACCCATGCTGTGTGTTATGACACAGGCTCGGGGTGGGGGCAACACCCCAAAACCCACATTAATGCATCCACGGAGAAACATCTGAATAGTGGGATAAATAACATGAATAAATGTGTGGGAACAAAAATGACTGATAGCCACAAATCAGTTGAGGTCCGATTCTGCTGCTGGGTGGGTTACAAAAAGCCTCTGGGTTTTTGGAGCTCTTCCAGGTTGGGGATTGTGGATTGGGTTTATGGACCTATTGATATAGTTTGGACCTGTGTCCCCCACCAAATCTCATGTTGAATTGTAATCCCTAATTTTGGAGACGGGGCCTGATGGGAGATGATTGATCGTATGGGTGGTTTCTCATGAATGGTTAGCACCATCCCTTTGGTGCTATTCTCATGATAGAACTCTCATGAGATTTGGTTGTTTAAAAGTGTGTGGCACCTCATTCCTCTCTCCTTCCTCCTGCTCTGACCATGTAAGACGTGCTTTCTTCCCCTTTGTCTTCCACCAAGATTGTAAGTTTCCTGAGGCTTCCCGAGAAGCTGAGCAAACGCCAGCATCATGCTTCCTGTACAGCCTGCAGCACCATAAGCTAATTAAGCCTCTTTTCTATATAAATTACCCAGTCTCAGGTATTTCTTAATAGCAGTGTAAGAATGGACTCATACACCTGTGCTTAGGAAACGTCTATTGAATGACTGAGTGAATGAGGAGTGTCTGTGCCCCTGGCCTCTCCCGCTGAGTGTGACCCAGGGCTATCTGTTAAGTGCATGTGTCTCTGGAGTACTGCAGCCTCCCACATTACTCAGCAGGATGTTTTGTATCAGATGGAGGGCAAGGGACTTGTTGGAGCCACTGAGGATCTCAGGAGCCTCGTTCTGTGGAGAGAAGCAGTGCCCTCTGTAAGCCATCTGGTCATCAGAAGGTAAACCCATCTCCCTGAAGGCATGGGCAGCCAACTTTCACAGGAGAAGCTGGGTAAGGAGCCATCGAGCCCAGGCAGCCACGTGTGGAAGTGGCCTCAGTGTCCTGGTCAGATAGTTAATTTCTTCTCACTTTTGATAAAAGGCAGCTGTTCCCTGTCATTCCACCTGCAGCCTGTGGGGCCCGAGTGCCCACCTTGTGAGAAGGCTCCCATTGTGGGCTAAATTGTGGCCCCCTCAAAATTCACACATTGAAGCCTTAATCCCCTGCAATTCAGAATGCAACTATTTGGAAATAGTACTTATAAAGGGGTGATTATGTTAAAACGCAGCTGTTAGAGTGGGCCCTAATCCAATCTGGCTGATGTCCTTATGAGAAAAGAAAAGTTTAGACACACAAAGCGATATCAGCACCTTGATCTTGGACTTCCAGTCCCTAGAACTGTGAGAACGTGAATGTCTGTGGTTTAAGCCTCCCAGTCTACAGTATTTTATTATGGCAGCCCTGACTGCCTAAGAGGCCCCAACTTGGCTTGGACATCAAGTTCAAAGAGAAGCCAGAAAATTTCCAAACTGGTGTTTGTTGTTCTCCTTCTCAAGACCTTTGTGGGTGGGGCCTCTGAGAAGCCACAGTGGGAGGTCAGGCAGTGGCGGTGAGGCTGGTGGCTGAAAACACAGGTTCCCTGCACTGCCCTCACCACCTGAAAACTTGGCAAGGGACTCAACTCTTCCTGCCTCAGGCTCCTCATCTGTAAGACAGAGTTTGCAGCAAGTACCTCCTGCGAGGGTAGTGATGAGAACTGAGCGAGTTGATATTTGTAAAGCACTTACAATTGGTACTTGGTATGTAGTAAGCGCTTCATGTGATTATTTGTTAAATTACCATGTTCTGGCAAAATTACAGCTTTAAAACATGAGGTGTCAGAAACAATATCCACGTGGCAAATGAATTTTCTTGGTATGTTTTCTGCTGAAAATCTTGGGGTAATGAATCACTATGGCGGATACTGTGGATACTTAAATGAATACTAGGGCCGTACCTATCTCCTGGAATCTCAGGGAACCCTCAGAGCCATTTAAATTACCCACAAGCATATTTTAACTACTAAACACCTTCTCTGTACATTAAGGAACTCAGGGATTTCCTGTGGTCTCTAACAGCTTGCAATGGGTTTAACTGCAAATTCACATGGAATTTCAGCACCCACACAGGCATTTGAGCTCTGCAAATTCTGTCACTTGAATAACTCCAATATCTAGCATTTACTGAGCACTGATTGTATGCCAGGTTATTTGATGTACACCTGTGAGGCAGGTGCTAAGATGAGCCCTATTTCACAGAAGAAGGAGTGGAGGCTCAGAGAGGGTGGGCCACTCCCCTAATATCACACAGCAGGTAAGCAGAGAACTCGGCATTTAAAGGCAGTACCTAGGCTGGGCACCGGCCCACGCCTGTAATCCCAGCACTTTGGGAGGCCAAAACAGGTGGATCACTTGAGGTCAGGAGTTGGAAACCAGCCTGGTCAACATAGTGAAACCTGGTCTCTACTGAAAATACCAAAAAAAAAAAAAAAAAAAAAAAAATTAGCTGGACATGGTGGTGGGTGCCTGTAATCCAGCTCCTCAGTAGCCTGAGGCAGGAGAATCACCAGGAGGTGGAAGTTGCAATGAGCCAAGATCACACCACTGCACTCCAGGCTCAGCAACAGAGGAAGACTCTGACTCAAAAATTAAATTAAATTAAATTAAATTAAATTAAAAAGGTGGAGCCTAAATGCATAAAAATTATACACCACTGTCTCCTTACTAGCCGGGAGATATTGGAAAGCCGCTTTAGCTGCTCTGAGCCTCAGTTTCTTTAAAATAGGGAAAATCATGCCTGTTTTAAAGTTATTGCTTGGATGGCCTGTGCTTGGCACTGGAAGTTACTGGGGAACTGGTTACAGTAGTTACAGTGGCGGTTGTCATCACTAGTACCTGCCTTCTTCTTTCTAACACACACCCAGAAATCACTGAAAAGCCTTACTTAAGCCATGAACTGTGATTCAGTGGCCTCGTCTGCAGCATGAGGACAAAAATCCCTAGTCCTACTTCAAAACATTGCCCCGGAGGTCAAATTAATAATGGTAGAACATGCTTTCACAATTCAATGAACTCGGGACTCTGGTTCTAGACAGCCACCAACTAGCTTTGTAATCTGATGAACCTCTTTATTTTTTAAGCCTATTTCCTCCAGCTTAAAATGAGGAGGTCAATCTATATAAATGAACTTCAACAGTATTGGGAATTTGAACTCTCTACTCTTCCACAGATGAAAAGTTTATTTCCAATGAAGAGAGTCTTTCTAAGACATGGAATAAAAAAATCATGGGTCTTTCCCGGCACCTGGACCTCAGCTCAACAAACTCTTCCTAGAAGAGCCTTTCCTGACCACCTGTTATCCTCTCTAAGGATACCTTCTCTCCTCACTTGTGTCCTTCATAGCATCTATCACTCTCTGAAATCATCTTCTCAACTTCGTGTCTCATCTGTCTCTCCCCACCAGAGTGTAAGCTCCCAGAAAGCTCGTATGCTCAGTTTTTATAAGTCTCTAATAAATGCTCAGTACATACTTGTTGAATAAATAAAATGATTTAACAATTTTGCAACTTATACAACCTTAGCATTCTCGGATATCAAAATGTCAGAACCAAGGCTGGACATGAACAGTTTAAAGGACTGAAGTTTTTCAAACCTATCTGAATGTCAGCTCTGAAGTGGTAACTGCATTTTTTGGAAACGATCATTTATAATATTGTCTGAACAAAGACGAAGTGGACCCATCCCCTCTTTCCTTTTTATATAGTTGTTTCTTCCACCCTAAGCCTCATCACATGAGGAGGAAGGCAGACACTTGTTGTGACTTGACCGGTCCTCACTTGCCCTCTTTCAGAGAGAGGAAAGGTGATCACTGTGTGCTCGGCTGGTGGGCTTCAGCATTTACAACACCTGCTGTCATCTGTGGAAATGCCCAGCTGTTGAAGCCAAGAGCTGCATCATGGTTTGAGAGAGTGGCAGCATGGACAGCCAGAATTCTTACCATAGGCAGCGGGAAGCCACACTCAGGGTTATTGACTCCGATGATGGAAGGAATTGCTTTAAATGCTTTCTGAGACAATAGACCTAGAGGCTCATTAGGAAAGAAAGCACCATCAACCACTCGAGTGAAAGGCTTTGTTTTCTGCAATAAGGAAGAAAAAAAAATCATCAGCAATTTCTGTTCACAAAATCTGCTGTCCCAATTCCTGACCAAGCAAAGCCAACATAGTCTAGCACTGGTTTAAATGCACTTAAAAAGTAAAAACAAACACTATGGGCCCAGCTCAATATATCAGTCCCTGGCAGCTCTGCCACGTACTTGGGCCAGGGGGCTAAACTTGTCTGTGTCTTATTTTCTCATCTGCTAAATGGGAATAATAATAATATCTACCAAGAAAAACAGTGGCCTGTGATATGGTATGGCTGTGTCCCCACCCAAATCTCAAATTACAGCTCCCGTATTTCCCACATGTTGTGGGAGGGACCCGGTGAGAGGTAATTGAATCATGGGGCAGGCCTTTCCCATGCTATTTGCCTGATAGTGAATAAATCTCATGATATCTGATGATTTTATAAAGCAAGCTCCTCTGCACAAGCTTTTTTTTTTTGCCCACCTCCATGTAAGATGTGCCTTTGCTCTTCCTTCAGCCTCTACCATGATTATGAGGCCTCCCTAGCCATGTGGAACTGTGAGTTTATTAAACCTCTTTCCTTTATAAATCACCCAGTCTCAGGTATGTCTTTATTAGCAGCTTGAGAAGAGACTAATACAGCCTAGCCCAGAGATTCTCAAAGTGTGGTTCTTAGACCAGCAGCATCAGCATCATCTGGGAACTTGTTATAAACGCACATTCTCAGGCCCACTTCAGGCTCCTCAATAAGAAACTCTGCGGTGGGGGCGTAGCCCAGGAACCTTCTTGTAGCTGGTCCTCCAAGTGATCCTGATGCATATTCAACTTTCAGAACTACTGGCCAAATGCAAAGGGAAAAATGGTGGTAGATGGAGTGCTCAGGACTGTAGGGGTTGGTGTGAACATCTTCCCTGAGTGACAGTGTCTTGGACATGCCTGGATATATTTTGGGTCTCAGAAAGCAACACTCAGCCCTAATCATGGTTTCTTTAGGTTTCTCTTTTGGAATTTGGGTAGAAAGGAGCACATGAAAGAGTTTGACACAACATCAAGTCCAGGACTTACTCTCCATTTCACTGAGTCTAGCATGGCTCAGAGTGGACATTTGGTACACACCTCATAACTAGCAAATGTTGAAATCTGAAAGATAACGATCTTGTTCATTCAAAGACTGTCATCAAAGGCTCTCAAGATTGGAAGGGAGATAAAGATTACCAGGTCCAATTATCTGTCACTGATTGAAAGTTTGTCAGAGGTCAGCTAGATTTTGCTTGAATACCTGGAGAGGTGGGCATCTCACCACCTTCTAAAGGAGCCCAGTCATTTTCCAGACAACTGAGGTCTTGAAAAGTTTTCAGTTATGCAGAACTAAAATGACTTCCTAATAGAACTTCCAGCTCCTGATTTTGACTTCAGCTTCTGGAAGCATGCGTAACAAGGGTGGTCCCTCTCTCCAGTGAGATGCTTTCAGGGACTTAGAGACAAGCCTTGTACTTTGCTGAATCTTCTCCAGGCTAAGTGGCACCCCTGCCCCAACAATTTTCTTAAATTACCTACAAGGGTTCTATACCCCTACTTATTTTTTTTTACAGCTGTTACCAAGTATCCCCAATCCTCCTCTTTTCAATGTTCCAAATCCAAATAAATAACAGAGGCATAGGATTTGTTCATCTCTCCATTCAAAGGGCAAGTCTCCCTCCAAAACTGTCCTGTCTGTCCTCACCTGGATGAGGGTCAGGAGGATTTTGTCCTCAGGCACCTCAGCAGGTCCTCAGAGTCTGACGCATTGTTCCCACAAAAATGTGCAACCACCTACAGCTATTTTGCAGAGAAGGGCCAGGTTAGAGCATGACATTGGAAGCATCTAGGAAAATGGAAGCTGGAAAATGTCCTCCAATCAGACACAGGTTTGTCCTCCATACATGAGTCCATCCTGCTACCCCTGCCTAGCCCCACACCCCTATAATGGAAGGTGCACATGGCGGACAGGTTGCCACTGCATCACCCTCACTCTCTTGCCTGGCTCTCCTTGTCATCTTTAGTGAACACCACAGCTGGGGATGGGAGTTTGCCAGTCTGTGACCATGGAATGGAATCAAGGTTCCTGGTCACAAAGAGATCAGTCCTGTGAGCTTGGCTGCATTGGTACTTGGCCCCTCCAGAGTCTAGAAGCCCAATCTTGAGGTGCTAAATGAAGACAGAAACACCAAGAGCGAGGAGCAGCTTTGCAAGCTCCTTCATTGTCAGTAGAGGCAGGGCTCCAGATCAGATTCTTAGCTTGTCAGCCCTGCCCAAGCCCCAGGCCCACACACAGCCTGGAATGTCCTACCTGTCTTTTTTCCTGCCTCTATACTAATCCTTCTCATTCTATAAGGCCTAAGTTCTTCTCTCCACGATATCCTTTCAGGGCATTGCACCCCCCAGAAACCCCTTCCTCATCCAATCTCCTATAAGCTTGATGTTCCCCACCTTCCATGCCTGGCCCATTGCTGAACATCTGCTTTCCTTGTCACTGAACCTTCCATATTTGTAGAACTCGCTCCCTGAAAGTGATGGTTCTTAATCTTCTGGGAGTCATGGATACTCTCAAAGTCACAGACCCTCTCCCTGGGAAAACGTGCAAGCATGTGGAGTCTGGCACAATTGTGGGACCACTTCCCAAACTTATCCATGGATTCCAGGATTTAATCGTATCCAAGGATAGGTGATAAAAAGATTAGATTGCCCTCAAGTTTAGGATGTGCTTTCTCCACTGATAAGTCCCAAAGCTCTAACAGAGCAGGGAAAATAGTGGGCACCCAGTGATGCGTGTCAAATGAATAAATATATGCCCAAACTGAAAATAGTTTTATGGAGAATGTTATCAAAATCAATATTTCTGTATATTGAGGGTATTTTTTTATAACTTTATAACTCTATGTTACTGCTCTTGGTATATACTGTTACTTTCTGTAAGATGTTTAAGAAAATTTACCACAAAAATGATGAATACTCAAGAGATGGCTCCACAGCCCAGTGCTTAATTAATGTGCATTGAATGAAACAGCTCATTTGTTAACTCATTCATTCAGAACACTTATGGCTGCCTGATATATACCAAGTATTATGTTGGGGGCCTGAAGGACAGAGAGATCCTGGTCTCTAGGGCCTCACGATCTAGTAGATAATTAAGACAAGAGACAGATGAGAAATATCGTGTGATAGATGCCCCTTATAATCCCAAGCCAGACAACACTAATCAGTCACAGCGTTATTTCCCACTGAGCTGGAAACAGCCTCTGAATCTTTCTTAACACAATGCCCTGGGTATCCATTCCCAGCAGAGTAGTGTAGGCACAGAAGAGCTGTATAGGATACAGGGAACTGAGTTATATATCACAAGCAAAGAATAAGGGGTAAGATGTAAGAACCATAACACGCATACACACACACTTGTGCACACCAGTGGTGTGGCGTTGTGTAGCTAGTTCCATTTCCTGTGGAACCAGAACTTTCATGGAGGAACAAGATTCACCTTGGGCCAGCATGAGGTTCCTTGGGCATGGTCACTAAGGAAAGCCAAACACATGGTGAGAAGGGGCCTGACCACATTCTCTGCTAACTGAGGAGAGGAAGCCGGCAAGGTGTTAACAGTATACATACGTCCTCACTCTTCTCATAGTCATGGGCCTTCAGGTAAGGGATGATGGCCACCCCACTCTCCATGACAGCTTTGTGGAATAAGCCTTCGGCCATGGGAGACAGTATCTGGAGAGAGAACACAGAAGACCCAGGAAAAGTTACTCCCCAGCGACACACATACCATTCACTCCTCTTCAAAGAAACCTTCCCAGGAAGCCTCCTTAAAAGCTCTAAGCTTAGAGGGGGAAAAAGCCCTGGTTTGGGGGTTAAAGGACTAGCTGTGAAGGTTTGGGCAACTTACTTAACCTCTCTGAGACCCTGGTTCTTCATGGACTTTGATGTCAAATATTCAGACATGTGATTTCTAGCTCCTTCACTTCCTAGCTAGGTAACCTCAGGCAAGTTGCTTAATATTTCTTTTTTTTTTTTTTTTTTTTTTTTTGAGATGGAGTCTCACTCTGTGGCCAGGCTAGAGTGCAGTGGTGTGATCTCAGCTCACTGCAACCTCCAACACCCAGGTTCAAGTGATTCTCCTGCCTCAGCCTCCAGAGTACCTGGGACTACAGGGGCGTGCCAACATGCCCAGCTAATTTTTGTATTTTTAGTAGAGATGGGGTTTCACCATGTTGGTCAGGATAATCTCAATCTCCTGACCTCGTGATCTGCCCACCTCAGCCTCCCAAAGTGCTGGGATTACAGGCATGAGTCACCGCACCCGGCCAAGTTGCTTAATATTTCTAAGTATCAGTTCACTCCCCTGTAAAGCTGGAGTAAAAATTGAGCCCGTATCACAAAACTGTTGTGAAAAGCAGAAGAAGGAATAAACAGAACTCTTCACACAGGGTCTGGTCCAATTTTGCTCATGAAATAAAGGCTGTTATAATATATGAAAAATTAGGTTAATATAATCCACCTTAGAAGGTAATTTTGAAGATGTAAAAAGACCACAGATATTGTCAAGTGCTATTCAGCAGAAGCTTTCTTAACTCACCACCATGTCACTGATTGCTGCAATTAACCTGCCAACTGATGCCAAGGAAATGCTGACCACTGAGCCAGTGGGCCATTTTCCGGCACCTCTGTACATTTCTCTTCTCACCAGTTTCTTGGCAAGAATCGGGTTTGTTCACTTCCAAACCCGTTTTGTCAATTGCACTTGTTATTGTAATTACATAATCAATGAAATATCATGAGAACAAATGAACTGTATGTGTAAAAAGAAAATCTAATTATGTCTGGAAAAATAATTCTTGATAAGAGATGGCTAAAAAATATTGCATCAGGCCACACGTAGTGACTCACGCCTATAATCCCTGCACTTTGGGAAGTCAAAACAAGAGGATCACGTGAGCCCAGAAGTTCAAGACCATCCTGGGCAATATAGCTAGAACTCATCTCTAAAAAAAAAAAAAATTAGCTGGGCAGCTGGGCGAGGTGGCGCATGCCTGTAGTCCTAGCTCCTTGGGAGGCTGAGGCAGGATGATTGATTGTAACCAGGAGTTTGGGCTGCAATGAACTATGATCACCCCACTGCTTGCCAGCCTGCACAACAGAGTGAGACCTTGTCTCAAAAAAATATATTGCTGTCACCGGGCATGGTGGCTCATGCCTGTAATCCCAGCACTTTGGGAAGACAAGGCAGGTGGATCACCTGAGGTCGGGAGGTTGAGACCAGCCTGGCCAACATGAAGAAACCCTGTCTCTACTAAAAATACAAAATTAGCCAGGCATGGTGGAACATGCCTGTAATCCCAGCTACTCAGGGGGCTGAGGCAGGAGAATTGCTTGAACCTGGGAGGCGGAGGTTGTCGTGAGCCTAGATTGCGCCATTGCACTCCGGCCTGGGCAACAAGAGTGAAACTCCATCTCAAAACAAAACAAAACAAAAATCCATATGTGTGTGTGTATGTGTATATATATACTATACAGATATACATATATATATAGAGAGAGAGAGAGAGACAGATATATATATATATATTGCTGTCAAATTTTGTGTGGACAAGAAAGAAGTAAAATATTTACAGGAAAAGTATAAAAATCCCAAATGCACTAAAATCAGGCGACTTTGCAGGCATCCTTAAGTTTGCACCCACTGTAAAGAAACCGAAACTGCAATTTGAGGACAGCGAATTTTGCAGGTGGTTTATGCAAGATAATCCACATTGGAACTCAAGTCAGCAGACCAACTCTGCAAACATAAGGCCCTGTATCAAATTGTTGGTGAGGGAATTTACATTTTATAGTTTCAATTAAAATAAAATATTTATATGCATCTTTCGGCATTTAATGGCTTAGCTGAGTTTCCTATTAAACAAGTAATTACCACTCTGGTAATTGAATGCTAGGGTTTCTCCTCTACAAATACAAGGGATTTTTCCTCAAATTATTACTCACTCCGTGACCTTAGATGATTTGTTTAAACTTTCCCAATGACAGCTGTCTTGTCTGTGAAATTAGACTGAGCCCCTAACTCATAATGTGTGTGTGAGGCTTGAAGAAGACAATGTGTATTAAAGTGTTTGCTCAACATGAAGGCACCAATCAAATGCCAGTGACTCATCATCATTTTTGGAACCTCCTGCACTGAGATTCATTCAATTCACAAAGCAAAGAACTCACAAGGCTAGAAACACTTATGGCTCCCGCAGACTCACCAAAGATGGTCACAGAGCTGGGGTCCCCACCAAAGAACTCGATGTTCTTCTGGACCCAGGACAGAGCAGCCACCTGGTCCTTGAAGGCCCAGTTCCCCGGCACGTGCTGATCCCATGTGCTGAGGACAAGAGGCAGGGTGAGAATTCTCAGTCAGCCATGGTGTGTTTCCCACAGCCCTGGACGTTCTCAGCAGAGGCTGTGGGCAGGCGTCAGTGGGGAGGGGACTGAGAGTCAGAGGCCTGGAGGAGCTGGGGAAACTGGGCTCAGTTCTCACACTTTGCTGGGATTTGGATTTCTTTGAGAATTTGATGAAAGCTATGCACCCGAGAAGAAATGCACATACAATATTGTAGGTGCAATTTCAAGTATTCATGGGCTCCTCAGAATCCATGAATCCCAATCCATGAATCCTGTGTTGCCCAGGCTGGTCTGGAATCCAAGAATCCGATCCTGAGAGTTGGTCTGTACTAGAAAGCAAGGGTTTCCTGGGCACAGAATTTTCCATGAAACTAAATTAATAATAGTCATAATAACAATAACAGGCGGGCGTGGTGGCTCACGCCTGTAATCCCAGCACTTTGGGAGGCTGAGGTGGGCAGATCACAAGGTCAGGAGATCAAGACCATCCTGGTTAATACGGTGAAACTCCGTCTCTACTAAAAAAAAAAAAAAAAAAAAAAAAAAAAAAAAAAAAAAAATTAGCCGGGTGTGGTTGCAGACACCTACAGTCCCAGCTATGCAGGAGGCTAAAGCAGGAGAATGGCATGAACCCGGGAGGTGGAGCTTGCAGTGAGCCGAGATCGTGCCATTGCACTCCAGGCTGAATGACAGAGTGCTGTCTCAAAACAAACAAACAAAAAGAACAATAACAGCAGCTGCAGCAAGTACGGGACACTGTTCGAAGGGCTTTAAGGCTAATATTCATACAATCCTCACAGCTATGTTGTAGGTGGTGTTGGTTTTTCTCCCTTTGCTTCTTTGGGTCTTCTCCACCCTTCTCTGCCCTGCCCCCCAAAAGCTGACCTCTAGGAATGGCATCACCCAGGCCTCAGCTGTGTGCCATGAGGGTGGGCTAGAGAGAGACTGCGATGTTTATCCCACCACCCCATGCTCCATCTCTGATGGGAAGTGTTTGGGCAGAGGGTGCTTTTTTCCACAATAGCAGCTCATGCCAACTCCCTTCCACTAAACCTGGAGCCTGCTGTCAGGACACCAATGGATACATCAACTCTTTAATTCAGGCACAGAGAGGTTAAACCCCCTTGCCCAAGAGCTAGAAAGCTGCAGTTTTGGGATCCCATGCCCCAATGCTGCTGCCCCTGCCAATTGTATGTTTTCCAGGATGGAATTAATGGGAGAACAAATGAAACAAGTGGAAATGCCATAGAACCAAAGAAATGTCTGGACTGAAAGCATGCATGCAGTGCACACCATATATGCATGTCATCCTGGGGCACATTCTACTCCCCTCCATTTTCCAGTTCCCCAGACTGCTCCTTCCCCTGGTCCCCTCCACTGTCCATGACCACTGAGCTGGCTCTGACTCCACCTTCTCTCTCCCAGGACCCTGCATCTGGTCAAGAGTCAAGCCCTGCCAATTTCACCTCCATTCTACTGTGGCTCCCACCCTGGTCCCCTTTTCTTCATTTCTGTTTATCCGAGAAGCATTATACCTTAATGGTTACCATCTCAGCCTCAAGCACGGGATTCACAGCCTGGTCACTTATTATCTGGGTGACCTTGGGCAAGTCACTTAACCTGCTTTGCCTCAGTGGTTCTCACATCTAAAATGGGGATAATGATAGTGCCCACTCCACATGGCTGTGAAGAATAACAGAGCCAGGCAGACAATAAGCATATCATACACACATGTTATATACATGTTAGCTATTGCTTTTGTGGTTGAATGACCCCATGGCATGCATCAAGACAGTGCCTCCCAGTGGGGCTCCCCATCTGCAGCTGGGCACCCCTGGCTCAGCCTCCACTCTGCTCCAGAGTGAGGTTCCTGGTACACTACTCTGAGAAAGGTAATCCTGGTCCCTCAATCTGTATTGGATAAAGCCCAAATTCCATGTATGGCCTGGCATTCAAGGCCTTTCCCTATCAGGCCTGTCCTTGCCTTCCCACATCCATCTCCTGCTATAGCTTCATCTACCTATGAACAAAACTAGATATGATAAACAATTGTTGAAAGCTTTTCTACCAAAGGAATCTTATGCAGAATCCTAACGTGTACTAGAACATCTGTACTAGAAAGCAAGGGTTTCCTGGGCACAGAAGTGTAATTGCTCTGGTCAGGGCACCCCGTCAGCCTGTCCTGCCTGCAAAGCACTCCCAGAGCCACATTACAGGACTACAGGCACAATGCAGTTTGCAAAAGCATTGCTTCATCCCTGTGTGTTGCTACCTCCCTCCCAACTTCCTAGCTTTTGCACAGTTAGCACCCTTTGCCAAGCACATGTTCTCTGAATCCCTTCTCCTCAAACCCAACCACATCCTTCTGGTGTAGTTCCAATGCCACCCCTCTCCTGAAGCCTCCTTGATCCCTGACAACTCCTTGCTCTGTTTCCACAGCCCCATGGCCTCTCACTCTTGGAGAATTAACCATCTCCTTCTTGGTAATGTGGATATTTTTGTCCCTGTATTATCTCCCCCATAGTCAGGAGCCTCTGTAGGGCAGGATTCATGTTTGAATCATTGCTGCCTTTCCCATAGTATGTGACAGTGACCCCCAAGCATAATCCTGGCCCCACCTCTCACTTCTCCTCTTTGCTTACATTGGACCCTGGTCAGGACTTCTCCCGCCATGACTTAGGCAGATAATAGAAGGGGTCAAGAGACCGAGCTCTGTTTTGTGACCCCCGGGAAGTTGTTTGGCCTCTCTGAGCCTCCATTTTCCAGCTGTGAAATAAGAATAACAACAGAGAACCTTCCTTGAAGGGTTATTTTGAGGGTGAGTTGAAATAATGCATGGCAAGTGCGCAGCCCCATGACTGTTTCAGTGAAAGCCCAGTACATGTTAGGCATGACCGGGGGAGGGAAGCCACGGTGATGGAGTGATGATTCTCAAGTGAGCATTTGAGAAGCCTTGGAGTGAGGCTCAGGTAGACACTACCGACTGCTCACACAAACAGTGCACTGTTCTTCCAGGGCCCACAGAGGGGCTACATGGCCCCAGCTCCCTTGCAGATGGATGTGGCCATGTGACTGAGTTCTGCTGATGATGAGTGAACAGAAGTGACGAGTGCCACCTTCAGGCTGGGCCAGGAGATGCTCCATTGCATGATTCTCCATGTTCTCTTGGTCCACCTGCCAAATGCAGAAGATTAGGGCCCTAAAGAATCCACATCAGAGATCAAGATGTAAGGAGCTAGATCCCTGGTTGGCCATGGGGAAGAATGTCTGCCGATCAGGGATGCTCAATTAAACTTTACTCAAGTGAGAAAGAGATTAGTGTTGTTTTAAGCCACCAAAATTTTGGGAGTTGTTTCCTACAGCTGCAAAAGTTACCTAAGTAATTAGGGCCAGTTTTGTTCAACGTCCCGGAAGGCTCACGCCTTCTTAGGTTGCACGGCACTGTCTATGGCTACTGCACGGCTGCTCCTTGGGGATCTGGGGTATTGATTATTTGGAGAGACTCACGTGAAGAAGCCAAATATTCCCAGCCGGTACTGGACGACCACAACCAGCATGTCCTCATAGGCAGCCAGGGTGGACCCGTCGAAGATGGAGGCTGAGCCAGTCTTGAAGGCACCCCTTGGGAACCATACCAAGATCTGAGGAGGGGAGAGGAGCGTCCAGTCAACCCAGGAGGCACCACCTCCCCTCCCCATGCAGGTGAGGCACACTTTCTTAACGCCAAATAGAAATGTCCCACTTGCTAAGCAGGGTATGAGGTTTTGTCTTTTGAAGTAGGCCCAGGGTTAAGCATGTGGGCTCTGGCACCTGAGTGCCTGGGTTTGACTCCCACTGCCACTGACTAGCTGTGTGACCTTGGGAAGATTACTTAGCCTAAGGTTCATTTTTCTCATCTGTAAAATGTGAAGAAGGAAAGTATCTCACTAACGAAGTTATCATGAGGTTTAAACAAAATTCTGCATCTAAAGCTCATAGAACAATAAGCAATAGTACATTTCAAGTTTCAAGTGCTCAGAAATTGTTCACTAAATACCAGCGAACCTGTGACCCACAGGAAGATGGAAACCATTGTAAGCCATGTATAAGAGCAAAAGCAGCTCAAGATGTTTCAGAGAAAAGCTCTCAGAGAGAGGAGAGGAAAGGAGGGGAGGGCAGAAAAGGAGAATGGAAGAGGGGAGGGGAGGGGAGGGGAGAAAAAGAGGAGGAGGAGAAAAAGAAAGAGGAGGAGGAAGGGAGAAGGAGAAGGAGGAAGGAGGAAGAGGAGGAGGAGAAAGGATGAAAAATGAAGAAAGAAAGAGAAAGAAGAAAGGTCAGGCGCAGTGGCTCACGACTGTAATCCCAGCACTTTGGGAGGCTGATGTGGGTGCATTGCCTGAGCTTGGGAGTTTGAGACCACCCTGGGCAGTATGCTGAAACCCTGTCTCTACTAAACCAAAAATTAGCTGGGCATGGTGGCAGGCACCTGTGATCCCAGCTACTCAGGAGGCTGAGACACAAGAATCCCTTGAGCCCGGGTGGCGAAGGTTGCAGCGAGCCAAGTTTGCACAACTGTGCTTCAGCTGGGGAACAGAGCAAGACTTTGTCCATACCCCCCGCCCCCCCAAAAAAGAGAAAAACAAAACAGGGAAAAGTAAAAATTTTATTGATTAGAAAAATTGGTACCAGGGAACATAAAACATTATTCAAATGGCGTTTATATATTTAATAACAAATTCCTTTCATTCTCTTTCTTAAGGTCATATTAGAGATTATAGCATTGGGGCAGGTAAAGAGAAGAAAGCCACTGAGGAAAGGGGAGGTGGACAAAGCGCTTTCCTTGGTGCCAGAATCTAGCGCCTACTGTGTGTACAACATGGAGCAAGTCATTCATGCCCTTCCTAGGCCTCATCTTCTCCATCTGTGGAATGGGTCCAAATCGTCCATACCCACTGGGTTAGCGTAGGAGTTAAATCCGATGATTCACTGTGCCTGGTACACAGCGAGCATTTAATAGACACTACTGTTATGATACAAGACAGCCAGCTTCCCCTGGCAGAGGCGTGGGGAATGGAAGAGGATGCGAGGGTGTGGCTAAAAAATAGAATATGCCTTTCCTCCATGCACAGACACAGGGATGTTTTATATTCTTAAATGAAACACTTAACATGATTACCTGACTGTCTTCATTATGAATAGAAAAGTTGGAGGAAAAAAATTATCCTTTTTGAAAAAAGATACCTCAAATTAAAACAAAAGTCAGGCTCCTTTTAAACAGTGTCTTTTCTGAAAGCTTACAGATCACGAAATGTGGAACAGACGGGAAAAACAAAAAAAATAAAAATTTAAAGTCAAGGCACTGCCAATAAAGAATCAATCAGAAAAACTGATCATGTGAATCTATCATTCAAGTGATTTTTTAAAATGTGATTACATTTGCCTTTTTCCCAACAGGGGGTAGTCCCGATTCCAAAGATTCCAAACACGCAGCTGCACTGCCTGCATCCCAGGCCAAGGTCCTGCTAGCTGGAGCTTGAAGCGCACACAGCAGGCAGCCTTACGGGGAGTTTGGGGCCTGCATCGGCGTGGGCAGGCGCATAGATGTTCAGGTACAGGCAGTCTTCTGACGCGCCAATATTGGGGTAATGCACCTTGAGCATGTGTTGATCTAAGCGCAGCCACTCTGAGTTCTGGAGGCACCTTGGAGAAGGAGAGGAGAAAACCCTCAGAAAAAGTTATCAGCAAACTTGCCTGGGAAGGGCCAGTTCTTCTGAGAGCAGGGAGGCCTGGCCGTCTCCTCTGCCTGAGCAGAAGAGGCAGCTACTGGTACAAAGTCCAATTATGCCCAAAACCCCATGGTTTCCAAAACAAACAAGCAAGCAAATTATAATTCTCTTTGATCTGGTTCCTGGCTAGGAAAGCACATGGTGTAGAATAATCGCATCATTACCACCCACCACCCTCCTATGCCACCACGATAATATAGACATACATAACAAACCAAGCTGGCCCAACAATTCCCCAAACCGCAGAGGGCAAGACACAGTCGAATAACAAGGGCTTTGCCCCTGCGGCTCCCTTTTCTGTCCCCAGAAGAGCAAAGGAACATTTCCTGGCCTCTGTACCTGGAACCAAACGGGATAGACTCCCGCACCCAGGCTTTGCTCAAGCCGGGCCCTCTGCCTGGACTGCTCTCTCCCCACATCTGCGTGCTCACATTCTTCCCTTTGTTTCAGATTCACTCCAACTTGCCACCTTCTCCCAGAAGCCTTCTGAGATTTCTCCAGTTCTACCATATCTCTTCTTTGGAAACACCCACCTACTTTGCGTTCTTTCCCAGAACTTGTCCTAAGCTTGTGCGTGTGCATTATCATCATCCCCAGCTCAGCTGTGATCACCTGAAAGCCTATGACTCTGTTTTAGTCACCTCTGTACCTCAGAGCACCAGCAGAGCATGATACACCGTAAGATTAAGTGAGGCTGTAATGTGAATGCTTCTACCATACTGTGTGCACAATCAATGCTAGTCGTTTTCATAATAGAATAGTGTGCGATATCGCTGCTCGTCTTCTCCTGACAGGTGTTCATGCCTCCCTGCCCCTTTTGTATGTTGTTGATCAGGCCTCAGTGCTTTCAGAAAAGCCATCTCTGACCTCCCATCCAAGCTGGGCCAGGTGGGTCTTTGTTTCCCCTCAGCGCCCTTCCCTGATACCCTAATGGTTGCCCTTCCCATCTTATATTTTAACTGTCAATTACTGTTTACATTCCTGCCACCATCACTCCTTGGTATGCTTCCTGAGGACAGCTGTGACTCATCCCCTGCCGTGTCCCCAGGCCTAATGGAGAGCCAGTTATCATGTTGGTTCTCAATGAATATTAGTTGGGTGAATGAATGAATGCACACAACAAATGAGTTTCAGCTTGATGTCCTCAGTCCTTGGACCACATGGGGTCATCTTCTGTGGCTTAGGGAATATCCTGCCACCAAAATTTCTTCTGCCAGGAACCCATGTGGCCCAACCTGAGAGCTTGACAGAATCTAAAGAGGTGGAAGATTCTAGGGGGATTTTCAAGTCTCACTGCCCACCCAGTAAGTCTCACCTCACCCCTCCACAATTAACCTGGTAACTGCTTACCTACCCGAGCTTGAAAATCTGCAGTGACCAGGAGCTCCTTACCTCCCAGAGTCCCTGTGTCACAGAGACACGTCCACATGTTCATTCCACGGGTATTTATGGAGTTCACCAAGGGCCAGGTATTGCATCAGGCACAGTTTTGACAGCTGGAGCTGACACTCTTCTAGTGTGGTTCTTCTCAGTAAAGCCCCATAGAGGTCAGGCATGAGTGAGAGGTCACAAGAAGATACCTAGACAGTCCCTTCTGACCAAACGACTCAGTAAACCCATCTCAGCACTTCCAGAACACCTGGCTGGTGATCAGAGTCTCTAGAGAGCATTCAGATAATAGTTTCCTGGGCTCAGCTCGGGATATTCTGATTCAGAAAGTTCAGAAGGGAGCTTGGAGAATCAACATATTTTTAAAGATGCCTCCAGCGTCCTGGCCATCAGTCGGTTTAGGAGTCAGGAGATTACCGAACCACTGGCCCGAGTCTCAAGCCCTCTCTTTCCCTCCTCCCTCATCCACGCCAACCCCTCTTCTTTCTCACTGGGCTGCATGATCTGCATTCGTGCCACTCCCAGAGTCACAAGCCAACCCTGGGCCCGAACCTGGTCTTACAAATTAGGGTAGGAGGTGGCTTCTCACAAGTTATCCCAGGGCGATGCAGGCTGAGGGTTCGTAAATCGCAGGGGTCCCAGCGGGGGAGCAGCAAAGGGGACTCCGAGGAACACATTCACAGGCACAGGGCTTCCCAGCACGGTGACTTGCTTGCTCTGAATCCATCCCAGCCTGGTGTTCCTCTGTGGCCCTTCAGCAGAAGGCCCTGGGGGAACACATGGAGGAATCAGGAGCAGGCTGGGGACAGGCAAGGTCATGGCCCACCCAGCCTGGAGCTCCCCAGTGGGGACATGCTTCCTTCACCCAGAGGCTGTGCAGCTGACACTATCCAGCTTCCCTCTCCATGAATCCAGGTCCACAGCTTCTTCCGAGATTGCTGTAGAAGTCACCCCCATGAGACCACTGACTTAGTTTCTCCTAGGAGCCCAGCAGCACCTAGCCACAAAATCTCCCCCATTCACTCAGGAACCCATCTCCCTTCTGCTGAGAGCTCTTTCTTTCTACAGGATTGACACACACCGAACTCTGTAGATCCTGGGATGCCACAAACTCATCTTCCCAGGGGTTCCTACACTTCTGTCACTCCACACCCTCTGGCACCACTGCCAGCACATCTGTGCAGCACCTGCATGATTACTGGCTTTTTATTTTTTTCTTAAAATTTAATTTCAATAAACTGCTTTTAAAATTTTACCTAGAAGAATTCCAAGTAATGACATTTATGGAATTGTGGTTGGTGAGTTAGGTATATGCTTTTGAATATACAGGAATATTCATGGATGAAAATTTAAAATTCTCAAGCAGATGCTTCCTGAAATCAACCCATCTACTTCCAGCAGCACGGCACTTTGGGAGACTGGGCATGCAGGAGTCTCAGTCACCACACAGAACGTGGAGGCTTGGGAAGGAAACTGCCCAGCTACTTACTTAGCAAGACCCAGGTGTCTTAGCACTGTTTCTAATTTCATTTCATTACTGAAAGTCCTGTCGCTGCAGCCAGGAGTGCAGAAGCACAGGCTCTGCTCCTCACACCTCCACAGTGCTCAGGATAGTGTCCCTCTAAACCCCTTGCAGCGTGTGAGCAATCCAAGGGCAGAACCAGGGTCTTTTGTGCACTACCCACCCCAAGAAGGGAGCTCTGGTCCTAGGTTCTCGGCAACACCAGAACATTGATGCCATCAAAGTACTACATAGCTCTCCACGGACACTCAGAGACCTCTAAAAAATAACCTCATTTCTACCAGTGGAAAATCCTTGCCCACCCCATCTTCTGAGAGCCCTCCTCTCCCACTGGATATCTCACCCTTGGTGGGGGCTACAAGGACCCAGATAGCCCAAAATAGGATCTGGCCTGGATACACCCAATTCCCACTCATTTGGCTGCCTGCCTGAATTCCGTGAACATCGACGGCTGCTGTTGGCCTCAGAGAACTTCGTTCGGGAGCCAGAAAGAGCTTCTTGTTAACTGGTAAGTGCTGAATAGGCAGGCAGAGGCAGCCGAGTTACTGAAGAACAGCATCAGAACAATATTCTCAAAGGAATTGACCAAGCAAGACTTTCCTGTTCTGATTTACATAAGAAGCTGATGATTAACTCTTGAGTTGGGGAAAGATAATTTGATCGGCTTTGGAATTCTGGGGTGGGGGAAATAGGAAAGACATTCCAGACCAGGCAAGACATTTTAGGATTACGAGTGCCAGAGGCCCAAGGATGAATGCGGTTTCCAGCCCTGCTTGTGGAACACAGTGCAGGCTGGAGAAGCTGAGAAGTTTCTGAGAAGAGGAAGAAGGTTGCTGCTGGAACAAGCGAGTGGCTCTGAAGGCACAAACACTGCCAGCTCAGACTGGCAGCCCGGCTGGCCCTGCCAACAAGAGTCTTCAATGGCCATTTGGTCTACAGCCTCCTTGGCAACCTTGAGGCCTCTTAGATTATATTATTTCCCCTTTGGCCTTTCATAGTTGTCACCAAAAAGATTCTCCCTGGCCTTCAAATCTGTCCCTTCATCTGACCAGAAATATTATCAATTCTCTACACCACTGCTCACTCAACTGTTTTAAAGCACTTCACACAAACGATCTTGTTGCCAACATCACCACCCACAGTGTGGATATCTTTCTTTTCCAGCTTCTTCTTTAAAATCCAATTTAACTGCCACCTCTTCCAAGAACCTTCCCCTGATTCTCCTGAACTTCTCAGTGCTTTGCTTTTCCAACCTCTCTTATTTTCTAATAAACCGTAGCCATGACTCTCTTCCCCCTTGGAGTACACCTTGGACTTTTCCAGGTACATATTCATCCCAATGTCTTACATGTGCCCTGTGGCTTCCCAAAGCTCAGTCCTAGACCTTCTGTCTTCCTGATTTGTACCATTCCCACTACTAAATTCACTATCAATTTACTTGACTTTTTTTCTTTAAATGGACATCTTTTAAAAGCTGTTATTAAACAAAATTGTATCTACCTAGTGCAATAAGGATAGTGTTTTGGGAAGAACAAGCCAATATATCTCGCATTTCTATACCACAAAACCATTCCCTTACCTCTAGCAACCATTACAACGAAGGGGAGGTATATGGTCGAGAAGATCCCCAAAATAGGACAAACAGGAAAATCCAGCCCTTCTGTACAGTGGATTTTGGAAAGGAGAAGGGAAGAGAGGTAGGGAAAGCACGTGTTATGCAAAGTGCCCTGACTCCCCCTCTTAGACATAGGTCTTAAAGGGGTACAGCAATGGGGGAAAGTGATGGGGTGCAGTAATGGGTTGAAATGTGTGCCAAGGACAAAATGTGTGCTAAGCAGTGAAGGGTTCTCCAGGAGGATACTGACAGAAGGGTTCCACATCTCAACCAACCTGGGGCAGCCACAGCAGAGCAGAAGTGGTTGGGCCAAGAGAGATCTCAGAGAGTGCTCCCACTTCCCTTGGATCCCCAATTCCTTGAAATGGATCCAGACATCACCATGTGGCTTTGAAGAGAACTCAGAGGTGACTACCAACCTGGCTGGGAGCTAGAGGAGGCGGAGGAGGGCAGGGGACTACAGATGCGCTTCATGTATTCGAGAACAGAGTGAAACCACAGCCTGGACTGTGCTGGAGCACAGTGTTGAACACTGTGCATGGTGAGGTGGGGCACTGAGCCAGCCAGGGAGGGTCAGTGGGCTTTGATCAAGACGAGAGGACAGACCATGAGCTCACCGCATGAGAATTCATCCTCCTCCCAGGAGCCCGGGCAGCGGGACGTTGCTGTGGAGACCACAACAACACAAGGACTTCTGCAAGTGGGTCCAAGCTCCCTAGCCCTCCCACTCATGTGATCCTATTAGCATCCCTTGACTTACACAGTCAGACACCATCTTGGCAAGGAGTGCGGGTGGGGTGGGGAGCAAATCTGAGAGGCTATGGATTTATTTGAAGTGATTATGCTATCTAAAAAGACTGTTTAAATTACTGAATAGGACTTTACCAGATTGAGTTAGATGTAATTATCTATCATTAACCAGAGGGGCGAAGAATTCTCCTTGCTAAAAATGGAAATTAACAAGCATTATATGTATGTGTGTGTATATATATATACGTATGTATGTTTGTGTGTGTGTATATATATATATGACATATTATAATACCACCAAACTGAGTCTTTCACTTCTACAAAATCAGAATGCAAAGAGAACTATAGAGGAAATGGTTTCCTAATGAAACATCTTCTATTTGCTGTTCTCTCTAGGTACCGCCTCTGTTGCAGGCATCCCCTAATGCACAGGACCTACTCTGTGAGGAATACTGATAATGTCAGGAATCAATGCCACTAGCCTTCATTTACAGAATGCCTTACTGGTACCAGACCCTGGGCTAAATGCTTTCTTTGCATCTGTTACCTAATTTAATGCGATTAGTCTCATTTTGTAGATGAGGAAACTGGGATTTTGCAAGGTGGGATTGCTCATCCAATATCACAAAGCTGAGAAGCAGCAGCTGGGACTAAAGCTCAGGTTTCCTGCCCTTGAGCTGCAGGCTTTGCAATTTGGGGAGGAGGGAGTAGGAAAGGAGAGGCAATAGAAAGATCTGGGAGGATGGGCCGGCTTCTGCAGTTCTTGGGCCATGAAAAATTACTTAATCTTCTAGAAAGCTGAATAACCACCTTGGACCTTGATGTCCCCATCAGTAGCACAGGTCAGTGGCCTGGATGGCCCCTGGGAGACACAGACCTTTGATAGGCTCTCCCTGTTCTCCCAGATTACTCTGCTGAAACCCTGAGGGAGAAAACCAAGATGAGGGCTAAGGGCTTGTTCTTTAAGCAGCTTGATTTAAAACATAGGTTCATCTACCTCTGCCGATAGGTGGTAAAGATCAAAGCCCACTTTGGGATCCTCATAAAGAGAGGCTAAAGGAACTTTGAAGGTAGGAGAGCAATGACAGCTGCCTCAGGGTGGAAACCAGTCTGTAGGTGGACAAAACAAAGGAGTGGTGCTCTGGTGCTGGAATCAGGTCACTAGGCAATGCCCCATACACCACATATGGGCCCACAGCTGGGAAGCTTTAGAGCTTCCATCTCATAACCTGTTTCTTCAAACCTCTCACACATTCATATTAAACCCAAACACTAACTTCATCTTCAAATCTTTTCTTATCTGGCTCCATTCTATGATTCCAAACTAATGCCTCACTGCAACCCCACTGTTACCCCCACCACTGCACCCCATCACTGCACCCCACCACTACCCCAAACACTGTACCCCATCACTGCACTCTACCACTGCACCCCATCACTGTGCCCCATCACTGTGCCCCATCACTGCATTCCACCACTATCCTCACCACTGCACCCCATCACTGCACTCTACCACTGCACCCCATCACTGCACCCCCACCACTAACCCCACCACTGCACCCCATCACTGCACTCTACCACTGCACCCCATCACTGTGCCCCATCACTGCACCCCCACACTGCATTCCACCACGACCCCCACCACTACCCCCACCACTGCACCCCACCACTGCACTCCATTTCTATAGCCCATTGCTGCACTTAGTCACTGCATCCCACTACTGCATCCCATCACTATACCCCATTGCAGCACCCCATCACTGAACTCCCCCAATGCACCCCACCACTGCTTCCCACCATTGTACCCCATCACTGCACCTCCACTATTATCCCATCGCTATACCCTACCACTGCACCCCACCACTGCACCCCACCACTGCACTTCATCACTACACCCATCACTGTACCTCCACCACTACCTCCATCACTGCACCCCATCACTGTACCCCACCACTGCACCCCATCACTACACCCCAATGCTGCACCCCCACCACTACCTCCATCACTGCACCCCACCACTGCATCCCATCACTGTGACCCACCACTGCACCCCATCACTGTACCCCACCACTGCACCCCATCACTACACCCCAATGCTGCACCCCATCACTACACTCCATTGCAGCACCCCATCACTGCACCCCCACCACTGCATCCCATCACCACACCCCATCACTGCACCTCCACCATTATCCCATTGCTCTACCCTACCACTGCACCCCTGCCACTGCACCCCACCACGGCAGCTCCACTGCTACCCTAGTCACTACACCCACACCACTGCACTCCACCAAAGCTCCCCATTTCTACAGCCCATTGCTGCACTCCATCAATGCACCCCATCAATGCACCCTGCCACTGTACCCCTAACACTGTACCCCATCACTGCACCCCACCACTGCACTGCATCACTGCACTCCATCACTGCAACCCCACCATTGTGCTACATCACTGTATCCCCATTACTGTGCCCAACCACTGAACGCTCACCAATATACTCATCACTGTACCCCACCACTGCAGGCCACTACCTCCCATCCCTGCAGGCTGTGCCCTATCGCTGCATCCCATCTCTATACCTCATCACTGCACCCCATCACTGTACCTCCACTCCTGCATCTCGTCACTGCACCCCCATTACTACATCCAGTGTTTGTTTGTTATATTTTCCTCCCCTGGAAAGTTTTGCCTTGAATTCTTTTCTTTTCTTTTCTTTCTTTCTTTCTTTTTTTTCTTTTTTCTTTTTTTTTTTTTTGAGACAGTGTCTGTCACCCAGGCTTGAGTGCAGTGGCATGACAAACTCCTGGGCTCATGTAATCCTCCCACCTCCATTTCCCAAGTATCTAGGACTACAGGTGCACACCGCCACACCTGGCTAATTTATTTTTTTATTTTTTGGTAGAGATGGAGTCTCACTATGTTGCCCAGTCTGGTCTCCAACTCCTGGTCTCAAGTCATCCACCAGCTTCTGCCTCCCAAAGCTCTGGGATTACAGGGGTGTGGCCAGGCATGGCCCACCACACTCAGGTGACTTCTTTACCCTATGAAATCCTACTTGTCTTAAAGATTCCATTAAAAACCACTTCCTCCACATAGACCTCCTCATTACCAAATGCTAGAATCATTCTCCTCTTCCCATCCAGCACTTTTTTCGATGACTCTATTATTTACAACACGCTGCCCTTGTTCTATAGGTGGTATACCCAATGATAATGATGATG